AAAAAAAAAAAAAAAAAAAAAAAAAAACGCATAAAAATAAGAACTGCGTCATGAAAAAAGGGACTTACCAAAAACGGAACCCGTGTGATTAGGTGCTAGATCGCATGGACTGACGGAAACACCACCATGATGCAAACCTCGTGCTGCCATAGCTAGTGTGAAAATAAACAGTGCAGTAGTGAAATTCATGGAATTTGACGAAATCAGTAGGCACACTGCCATACCACATAAAGAAATGCCCTACAAGAAGAATTTCAGGCTCACAAAAATTTTAAGCGCCCTGAAGAATAGCTCATTTCAATTATTTATCGGTAAAAATTTTGATAAAATATCTTTTTCGCCGTAGTTTACGAGTGCCAACGTTCGGAACAGCTCAACACATATCAAGTACATCTTGAAACGACTAAAAGACAAAACGAACACAATAACGCCAGCAGGTCAGGCACTGGAAAAGCCGGACAGACTATTAATTACAGCTGATCCAAGTTGAGCAAAGAGAAAACTGGCCGAGAAGCCAGGACGACGAAGGTAGGAGGGACGTCGTGTTATTTCGCTTACAGCGCTGCTTGGAGCAGTGTTAAATGATTATGCCTTTAAATACCGCACTGGAAAAAAAAAAATAAATAAAAGCGAACTTCCATCAGCTTCCTTGTTAGGGACAGCGAGTGAGCCCTGAGCAGCAGTCGTGTGGCGATGAAAGGGGCACAAAACGAAGTGATAACGATTGCCACGGAGGGCACCACATTGTATACCACACCTTTCGCGCTCGGATACGTGTCCGCGAAGTAGGAAGGCAGCCAACTGAACATAGTGTAATACGCGTTCGCGCCACAATACTGCGCAAATGCTGCAGCCCTGCAAATGTATCATCATTCTGTGCTTTACTGGCACTACAGGGAACCGCATTTCGAGTGAAGCAGTAGGAAGAAACATACCAGAATGAAGGGTGCTTCAGCAGCGCTTCCCAGGGAACAGCACTGTCTGACGTGCAACCAGAAGAGATCAACGATTTCCGGACACCGTTTATCAATGGCACTTTCAGGTCTCCGCCATCCGAATCACTGAGCTCAGCTGGCTTGCTACGACTCAAAGACATGCAGCGAAGCATTATCCACCACAAAAACGATGTAGTACCTGAAGAGCAAAATAACGCTCTGCACACTTATCTCATTCACTGGCCCACTGAATGTGTGTGATATGCCGGCCATCGGTGCACAGGGAGAGAGTGGAATACGTGGATCAGCTGTAACTCATAGTCTGGTTTCCCACTACTTTGGCCAGTCTGGTGGATAGCCCATCTGTGATATTGGCTTACTTCCTGAACGGAATACCAGTCCAGCAATAGTTCTCCCAACGGAAGCACCTGGTGTAAGACTTTAGCCGTTTCGAAATACCCTTGAATATGCCTTGCGTATCACCATCGCGTTTTGAGAAGTGCTTATAAAGCTTTGGGATGACGACTCGCATAAACTGGATGCTTTCAGAGGAAATAGAAATGGCTCTCCACAGGATGTGCAATAGGGCAGATTTTTAATGCTATACGCTTTTATAAAAGTACATGTATGTATTGCCTAACTAATCCGAAAACAACTGTCAAAAGAAATGAATAAAATAAAAGTAATGAGATTTGCATTAAGGGAAGAAATTTCGTACATATTTCTCTCCCTGTCTCACGTCTTCTCTCTCTCTCACTTGATCTGTTTTTGAGGTAACGAAATTAACAGAAACACTACACATACCAACAAACTGAAACAAAGCGCGCCAGCCGAACGCTTCGAGCAGCAAAGATCCCACTGAGCCAGCTAATACTGTCCTGAAATTACATGGAGTTAAGAGCTGTTCCTGAAAACGCTTTCAGGCCAAAAAAACTTTCACGTGTCCCAAAGTGAGAACAATGTGGACCTGCGCGTCCGTTTTGAGGACACGAGCCCGCACGTATGTGTAGATTAAGTCACCAAATCCTTGTCCACATATAACTCAAAGATTTCAAATTCAGCCCCCAGGTGTGCGTGGTCCTCGCGTATAGCCTCGAGAAATTTTTTGGCGGAAAAGTGGCTGACTCGGGAACTAGCAAAGCTGGGAGTTTGAAATAGCTTTTAATGCACTGCGCAAGGGAAGCAAACTCACAGCCAGCAAGTGCCTACACAATCTGGAAGAAATGAGAAAGGTACCCGAGATGTGATCCAGCCAGGCATATGCCAAACACACGTCCCTTGTCGTGGAAGGTCAGATGTCGAGAAGTCAATGAAGCCATCGATGGAAGATGAAACGCTGAAATAAATTTCACACAGTTCAAACAAGTCAAGCACACCACACACCCACTCACTCACAGAAGGTGCACAACCCACAGAAGCACTGGAGGGCGTGACTCTTTTTTTACGGGAATTTCTGCCGAGAACTCTCATGCACTTCGGCCACTTAATTGACAAAATTTTGTCTTCAGAAGAAACCCAGTTTAACATTCAGTTGCAATAATAGAAAGCGTCGATTGCTCGGGAATCAAGCAACGCTCCTCGAGTGCTCCCAGCCACACCAGTGCACTTCTCTCAGTTAACGGATCGAGGACTACGCATCGATGAAACAAATAAAAACACCCGCGCCAGCTTCTTCTTCATAATTGATAAAATTTCTTTGTATCCCACGATTTTTTTGAGCGATGTGAATGTCTGACAGTAATTTCAGCTGTCCGAAAAAGTGACTTACCCTGGCCGATGCCAGTTGCGGTGCGAATGAGGATGATGAAGAACATCGGATGATGCGTGGACTGGGCGAAATCGAAGAGCTGCGGTGTGAAGAAGGTCAGGAATGCCCAGGTGAGGGTGCACAGCTTCAGCACCCTCTCACCGCCAACACGATCAGCCAGATGGCCGGCCACCATCTGCGTGCATGCATAGCCCCAGAAGAACGACGAAAGCACCGTGCCCTGCAAATATGCCACCCTGCTGCAATCAGGCGCTGAAACACACGAACATGCGCAACTCTCCCAGCGCCGGTGCCCCCAACTTCGTCCCACACTGACACAGTGCTGCGCTCCCTCACTCAAACACGACAGAAGTGCTGCATTATTATGCGTTTTGTGCTGTGTAACAGCAGTACAAATATATCTCGGGAACCACAGCGTGTAGGAGGCTGAAATTTTAGGGTAGTGACCCCTGCCCACGCTCAACCCCGCCCATTC